ATCTGTATTCGACAGGCGGACGCGCCTGATGTCTTCAAATCGATTCCAGTGATTACCAGCCATGCAGCCCCCCACAGCCCGAGTTAAGTCCAGATAACCGACAGCATCTCGCAAGCGACTCGAACGATACGAATAATTTCGCGATTCTAGATCGGGCAGCAGACCGAGTTCAGAGCTCTGGATTCGACAGACAAACGCAACTGATGATTCTGAATTGGTGCCTTAAAATATCAGCTCTGTAGCTGTCCTACGGCTCGAGTTAAGTGCAGAAAACCGTGAGTTTCTGTCAAGATGACTCGAATAATACGAACAGGTTTGCGAACCTAGCAGCAGACCGAGTTCAGACCTCGAGGTTCAACAGGCGAACGCGCCTGATCACTCTGCATGCATTAGCTGTGCTGACCAGCTCTGTAGCTGCCCTAGAGCTCGAGTTATGTTCAGAAACCGTCAGCCCATATCAAGATGACTCAAAACGGCCGATCCCGCCACAGTGCTTTTCGATAGTAATATTCACCCGATCGAGCTGAGATCAAGATGGCGAGCGGGAATAAGATCGAATATCACGGGTAAAAATACTAGAGCTCTAACGAATTGTCAAATTTTGAGAACATAATTTTCAACCGAGCCAAAGTTGTGAAAAGTTCAGTTCTTTTTTTCGAGCCAACTAGCCTGCCAGCGTTTTCGAATTACTCTTAAGCTTCGCCGCTGCGCTCTCAGGGAAGCTCTACGTGTCAAACGATACGAATAGTTTCGCGATTCTAGATCGGGCAACAGACCGAGTTCAGAGCTCTGGATTCGACAGACAAACGCAACTGATGATTCTGAATTGGTGCCTTTAAATATCAGCTCTGTAGCTGTCCTACGGCTCGAGTTAAGTGCAGAAAACCGAGAGTTTCTGTCAAGATGACACGAATAATACGAACAGGTTTGCGAACCTAGCTCGGCTAGCAGACCGAGTTCAGACCTCTGGGTTCAACAGGCGAACGCGCCTGATCATTCTGCATGCATTAGCTGTGCTGACCAGCTCTGTAGCTGCCCTAGAGCTCGAGTTATGTTCAGAAAACCGTCAGCCCATATCAAGATGACTCAAAACGGCCGATCTCGCCACAGTGCTTTTCGATAGTAATATTCACCCGATCGAGCTGAGATCAAGATGGCGAGCGGGAATAAGATCGAATATCACTGGAAAAATACTAGAGCTCTAACGAATTGTAAAATTTTGAGAACATAATTTTGAACCGAGCCAAAGTTGTGAAAAGTTCAGTTCTTTTATTTCGAGCCAACTAGCCTGCCAGCGTTTTCGAACTGGAACCGGCGGTAAACCGTCAACCTGGTCACCGCCGCGAATATCGTAGAGCTCTTTTCTTGCGCGGCGATCGTCGAAACACATGGAGTAAGCTTCTGGAGCGAGAAACAAAAAACTCGAAAAATCACGTTTTTCTGTTTTTATTCAACGTCGGTTCCGCCAAGTGTTTTGATGGTAATACTGCACCTATAGACCTGAAAATTTTACTGGCAGACGCGAAATAAGCCACTACAGGTGCGAAAAATCTGCTTTCTCAAAATGAATTGTCAAATATCTTTCAAATATTTGCAAAACCACCGAAAAGTCATCACTTTGTCCTTTCTGGACGGGTCGACCGACTGGGCGCCGGCGGTAAACCGTCAACCTTTCTTACCGCCGGGGGACTCGTAGAGCTTCCTGACAGTATATAGCGTGGGAAAAAACTCCAAAGGACGACCAGTTTTTGAGCCCAAGCGATTTCACACCTCTCAAGATGACTCTAACAAAAAACAAACAGTTTCGCAATCCAGTTCGAGTATCAAACCGAGTTCAGACCTCTGAATGCGACAGGCGGGCGCGTCTGATGTCTGCGAATCCACTCATGTGATTCCCAGCCCTGCAGCCCCCCTACAGCCCGAGTTATGTGCAGAAAACCGACAGTATCGACTCGAATAATAGAATAGCTTCGCGGACCTAGTTTGAGCAGCAGACCGAGTTCCAAGCTCTGGAATCGACAGACAGACGCGCCTGATGTGTGTGCAAATCGATATCTCTGACCCGCAGCACTGTAGCCCTGCCCAGCACGAGTTGAGTGCAGAAAATCGAGAGCACTCCTCAAGATGATTCGAACAATACGAATAGTTTCGCAAACCTAGCTCAGGCAGCAGGCCGAGTTCAGAGCTCTCGGTTCAATAGACGAACGCGACTGGTGATTTCTCATCGATGTCTGTGACAATGAGCCTTGTAGCTGCCCTACAGCTCGAGTTAAATACAGAAAACCGAGAGCGTCTGTCAAGATGACTTCAATAATACGAATAGGTTTGCGGACCTAGCTCGGCTAGCAGACCGAGTTCAGACCTCTGGATTCAACAGGCGAACGCGCCTGATAATTCTGAATGCGATAGGTGTGCTTACCAGCTCTGTAGCTGCCCTACAGCTCGAGTTAAGTACAAAATACCGACAACGCGTATCAAGATGACTCGAAACGGCCGTTCCCGCCGGGACGCTTTTTGGCAGCAAAAGGTACCCGACCGAGCTGAGATCAAGATGGCGAGCGGGAATAAGATCGAATATGACGGGAAGAAATACTAGAGCTCAAACGAATTGTTGAACTGGAACCGGCGGTAAACCGTCAAACAGGTTACCGCCGGGCCCCTCGTAGAGCTCTTTCCTCGCACGGCGCTTCCCAGTCCACATCTAGGAAGAGTCTAAAGCAAGACTCAAAAAAAACGAAAAAAAATGTTTTCATATTTCTATCGAAAGACAGTTAGGCCAAGTGCTTCGATAGTAATACTGCGCCTATCGACCTGAGAATTTTATGGTTGACGCGAAAAAACCTACTACAGGTGCGAAAAATACCGGTTCTCAAAACGAATGTTCAAATCTCTCACAGAGATCGTCCAACCGACCCAAAGTTCGCACATTGTCCGTCGGGGCCGGGTCGGCCAACTAGCTCCACCCCGCGGCCGAATTCCTCTAGCTCAACGATGCCGAAGAGCTCTACGAGGTATTTCGAGAACAAAATGTTCAACCGACCAAAAGTCAGCAAACGGTCCGTCGAGATTTTTCTCGCCAACTAGCTCTCCAGCGCGCCGGAATTACTCTTAAGCTTCCAGCAATAACTTGCTAAGGGAAGCTCTACGAGTTACTAGCTCCACCCCGCGCCGGAATTCCTCTAGCTCATCGAAGCCGAAGAGCTCTACGAGGCATTACTCTTAAGCTTCGCCGCTGCGCTCTCAGGGAAGCTCTACGAATCACCGCCTCCAAGTCGTCACATTGTCTCTTAAGGTCGGGTCGGCCAACTAGCTCCAGCTGCGCCCGAATTCCTCTTAGCTCATATTGCCGAAGAGCTCTACGAGGTATGATCAGACGCGTTCGCCTGTCGAACCCAGAGGTCTCAACTCGGTTTGCTAGCCGAGCTAGGTAAGCAAACCTATTCGCATTATTTGAGTCATTTTGATAGACACTCTCAGTTTTCCGTACTGAACTCGAGCTACAGAACAGCTACACAGCTGATACGTACAGAATCTGATTCAGAATCATCAGTGGCCGTTGTCACCATCGAGAGCTTTGAACTCGGTTTGCTGCCCGATCTAGAATCGCGAAACTATTCGTATTGTTCGAGTGATCTTGCGAGATGCTGCCGGTTCTCTGCACTTAACTCGTGCTGTAGGGGAATGCATGGCTGGTTATTGCTGGAATTAATTTTCAGATATCAAGCGCGTTCGCCTTTCGAATCCAGAGCTCCAAACACTGTCTGCTTCCCGAACAAGCTCTGCGAATGTACTCGTTTTGTTCGAGACATCCTGAGAGATGCTGTCGGTTTCCTGCACTTGACTCGGGCTGTAGGGGGCTGCGGGGCTGGTTATCACAGGAATCGATTCAGAGACGCGTCCGCCTGTCGCATGCAGAGGTCTGAACCCGGTCTGATATTCGAGCTAGGTTTGTCAAACTATCGTATTGTTCGAGTCATCTTGAGAGGTGCTGTCGATGTACGCACGTAGCTCGGGCTGTAGGAGAGCTAGAGAGCACGCAGAAGAGAATTCTGAAGCATTGGGGGCGTTGCAAGAGGTTTGAAATTGCTTGGGCTGAAACACTATTTTTATCTGTATTTTTTTTTTCGACATTATATGTTGTCAGAAAGCTCTACGAGTCCCCGGCGGTAAGAAAGGTTGACGGTTTACCGCCGGCGCCCAGTGTGCGCTTACAGAGCACATATCAAGACGTAGAGACACTTATAGTCGTTTACAGGTGAAAAAAATCTGCTTTCTTAAATAAATAATATAATATCTTTCACCTATTCGTATGATTCGAGTCATCCCCGGGCGAGATCAGCTGATTCGAGTCATCTTTTCATGCGCTGTCGGTTTTCTCAAGATAACTCGAGTTTCAGGACAGCTACAGAGCTGGTCGGCACCGAGCTAGGACCGCAAATATTGGTATTGTTCGAGTCATCCTGAGAGGTGCTGTGGGTTTCCTGCACTTAGCTCGGGCTGTAGGGGGGGGGGGGATCGAAGGCATGTAATCACATCAATCGATTCAGAGAGATCAGACGCGTATGCAGAGGTCTGAACTCGGTCTGATACTTGAGCTAGGTTTCCCGAACTATTCGTATTGTTCGAGACATCTTGAGAGGTGCTGTCGATTTACGCACGTAACTCGGGCTGTAGGAGAGCTACAGAGCTCGTTCAGAAGACAATCCAGAAGCATCGTTTGGCTGTTGCATTCGAGCGGTCTGAACGTGCTTGGGCTGGAAAACTATTTTTCTGTGTATTTTTTTTCGACATTACATGTTGTCAGGAAGCTCTACGAGTCCCCCAGCGGTAACAAAGGTTGACGATCTACCGCCGGCGCCCAGTTGTCACATTGCCCTGTCTGGTCGGGTGCTCTACCCGGCGCCATTAGCTGATCGCTGCCGAAGAGCTCTACGAGGTACTAGCTCTCCAGCGCGCGGGAACTGGCGTCGGCGGTGAACCGTCAACCTGGTTTTTGTTGCGGACTTTGCGGTCGACTGTGCAGGCTTTCCAGCCTAGTCGGAGCAAGGAGCGGACGTATCCAAACAGGCAAGGCGTGAGCGAGCACAAACTCTTATTCACATCAAACCAGTCCGAAAAACGCATGTTCAACCCGCTGTATGACAAGAGGCGCATGCTCAACGTCACATGTGAAGTAATCAACGAATTAGACGGGGAAACACCCCGTGGAAGAACGTCACCTGAAGAATATGAGGGGCCCCTGCCCTTTACACACCTGAATCGCTTAGTGGGGCCCACAGCGGGCCGTAGAGCCATCATGGCTCCAACGAGAGGTCAAACAGAGAGATAACGTGAGGAAAACAAGAACAGGTGAGATACAAGCATTACTGTTCTAAACCGGAAGATGCATACAAGTGCGCACGAATAGCTTCATCCCAACTTGTCGAAACTCCTCGGGCGTCCGAAGAATATTATTCGGTAATCGCTGCACCTGGAAACCTCAAGAAACTTGGCCATCTCGGCACGGTTCATTTGTCCTGTCAAGAACCTGTGCACCTCGAAGAATCCTAGAAGATCCTCCAGCGTCGCTTGAACATTCTGGAGCATCTCATACAGTTTCCGAGCATAATCTGTTTGGGCCTTCTTTGTAGGGAACCCACGTTCTGTCACCAGCTTATCAAACAAATCCATTCCGTTCTTTAAAAACTGGATCGCATTCAACTCGTTGATGCTGGCAACAGCGTCAATCCACGCTTTGACATCGGCAATGGTGGCCTGAGAGCACGTCGATGTCCCCTTGACCTTGTCACGATCTCTCCCTCGAGTCCCCTGGCGCGACTCCTTCGATACCTCATTGAGCGTGACGGGACGATTCAGACACCCCTGGGACGCTCCTGACAAGGCGCGGCTATCAGAATCAGACTGCACGTTCGGAGAAGACTCCGCACTCGAGGGTGCCTCCAGCTCCTCCTCCGCCGCCACAGTCACTTTCCCAAGAAGAACTCCTGAAGCTCCTCCCTCCATCCCAACGACACTATCTGTCTGACAGCCGACTTCACAATGAAAGTCCGCAACATCAACCGTCTGCACTCCAACATCAACCAGCGATTCAGAAGCCTGCACTCCAATATCTACATCAACCAGCGATTCAGAAGCCTGCATACGGCAAGAAAGATTATCCGAAACAGTCTTAATGTTTGCCTCCTCCTCCTCCTCCAAACTGCGTTTGACAACAGGTGGATCGCGCAACAAGAGATGATCTAGAACCAAATCGGCAGTCGCCCGCTCCAGCCCTGGTGGTGGGAGACACGTAGGTGGCACCAAACCATCCAGAGGCAAACGAATAGGTAAATGCACACAGTATCCGTTTTGAACAGCCAGCGCCCGACGCATAATGCGAGCACTTGCACTCCGTACGTGTGGCATAACGAAAGATTGCAGAGACTGCCTCGGAAGCACCCAGCAAAACAAATCAATTGAAGACAACTCAAGGCGATCAAACGTGTCAAATGAATGGCAGCGCAATATCACTCTAGGCGACAAACGTGTGAAACAAATCAATTGAAGACCACTCAAGGCGATCAAACGTGTCAAATGAATGGCAGTGCAATATCACTCTAGGCGACAAACGTGTGACTTCCTGACGCGCACTCGATCCCACTGGAGGTTACCCAGGCAGAGGGGATCAAATGTCAAGCGCCTTGAGCCGAGATTTCCTTGAGCCGGGAACCTAGACACGGGAACCTAGACACGCTCAAGAGCCAGGATCGAAGCAGGGAGCTTCTCGGGGTATTCCTAGAAAAAAAAAATCGAATTCACATTTTTGCGTATCAATTTCACGCTGGTTCCTTCTAATTTTGCGATAGTAAAACTGTCTCTAGAGAGTTAAGCTGCTTAGATAATAAGTTTAAATGCCACAGCTCGGCTTAAAATTATGCTTCCTCGAAATGAATTGTGAAATATCTTTCAACTGGGCGCCGGCGGTATACCGTTAATCTTCCTTACCACGGGGACTAAAGCTTTCTAAGCATATACTGGCGCCGGCGGTGAACCGTCAACCTGGTCACCCGAAACCTCGTAGAGCTCCTTCCACGCGTGAGAGTGCTCAGAGTCGGAGGAGAGAGCTTCTGGAGGCATTTCTCGCGCCGTGTGAGGAAAGAGCTCTGCGAGGGCCCGGCGGTAACCTAATTCACGGTTTACCGTCAGTTCCCAGTTGGCAAGAAACATTTCGACGAACCTTTTGATGACTTTTAGTCGGTTGAAATTTTTCTTCTCAAAATTTGAACATTCGTTAGAGCTCTAGTATTTTTCCCCATAATATTCGATCTCACTGCTGCCTGTCATCTTGATCTCAGCTCGATCGGGTAGCTTCTACTGCCAAAAAGCAGACAGGCGGGATCGGTCGTTGCAAGTCATCTTGATACGCGCTGTCGATTTTATCAAGATAACTCGAGCTTCAGGACAGCTACAGAGGTGAGCACATCTAATCGATGCAGAATGATGAGGCGTGTTCGCCTGTTGAAGCCCGAGGTCTGAACTCGGTCTGCTAGCTGAGCCAGGTTCGCAAACCTATTCGTATGATTCGAGTCATCTTGACAGACGCTCTCGGTTTTCTGTACTTAACTCGAGAGGCAGGACAGCTACATAGCTCATATGTACAGAATATGATTCAGAATCACAGTGGCTGTTGCCTGCTGAATCGAGAGCTGTGAACTCGGCCTGCTCTCGATCTAGAATCGCGAAACTATTCGTATTGTTCGAGTCATTTTGAGAGATGCTGTCAGCTCTCTGTCTTTAACTCGAGCTGTAGGGGGGCTGCATAGCTGGTAATCACTGGAATCGATTCGAAGATATGAGGCGCGTGCGCCTTTCGAATCGAGAGCTCCGAACTCTGTCTTCTTCTGTCAGAACTGGATCCGCAAAACTATTCGTATTGTTAGAGTCATCCTCAGAGATGCTATCGGTTTTCTGCATAACTCGGGCTCAAGGGGGGCTGCAGGGCTGGTAATCAAATGATTCGATGCAGAGACATCAGACGCGTCTGCCTGTCCCATGCAGAGGTTTGAACTCGGTCTGATCTAGATTTGTCAAACTAAGTTGGCAAGAGAAATCTTGACGGACCTTTTGCTGACTTTTGGTCAAGAAACGTTCACTATAAGTCGGAATGTTGGTAGGTGCTGTCGCTTTTCTCAACTTAAGTCGAGCTAGGAAGCTCTACGAGTCTCCCGGCGGTAACCAAGGTTCACGATTTACCGCCGGTTGAAAAATTCGTTCTCAAAATTTGAACTGGGAACCGGCGGTAAACCGTCAACCAGGTTACCGCCGGGACCCTCGTAGAGCTCTGTCCTTACACCGCACTTCTCGGCACATGAAGAAAGCAAGACACAAAAAAATCGAGAAATCACGTTTTTCTGTGTTTGTCGAACGTCGGTTCCTCCAAGTGTTTTGATAGTAACACTGCCCGTATGGGCATGAAAATTTTACTGGCGGACGCGCCATAACCCACTGCAGGTGCGAAAAATCTGGTTTCTCAAAATAAATGGTCAAATATCTTTCAAAAAATCGCAAAACCACCCAAAAGTTGCCACATTGTCCGCCTCGGCCGGGTGGGCCAACTAGCTCCACCCCGCGCCGGAATTCCTCTAGCTCATCGATGCCGAAGAGCTCTAAGAGGTACATTCGTTTGAGCTCTAGTATTCTTCCCCATGAGATTCGATCTCATTCCCGCTCGCCATCTTGATCTCAGCTCGATCGGGTAGCTACTGCCAAAAAGCAGGCGGGCGGGGTCGGCCGTTTCGGGTCATCTTGACAGGCAACGTCGGTTTTCTCAAGATAAATCTAGCTTCAGGACAGCTGCAGAGCTGGTAAGCACAGCTAATCGATGCAGAATGATCAGGCGTGTTCGCCTGTTGAAGCCGCAGGTCTGAACTCGGTCTGCTAGCCGAGCCAGGTCCGCAAACCTATTCGTATTATTCGAGTCATCTTGACAGACGCTCTCGGTGTTCTGTACTTAACTCGAGCTACAGGACAGCTACAGAGCTGATACGTACAGAATCTGATTCAGAATCATTAGTGGCCGTTCTCTGTCGAATCCAGAGCTCTGAACTCGTTCTGCTGTCCGATCTAGAATCGCGAAACTATTTGTATTCTTCGAGTCATCTTGAGATGCTGTCGGTTCTCTGCACTTCACTTGGGCTGTAGGGGCTGCATGGCTAATCACTGGAATCGATTTGGAGCAATCAGGCGCGTCCGCCGTTCGAATCGAGAGCTCCGGAATCTGTCTGCTGCCCGAACTAGGTCCCCGAAACGTATTGTTCGAGTCATCCTGAGAGGTGCTGTCGGTTTCTTGCACTTAACTCGGGCTGTAGGGGGGGGGGCTGCAGGGCTGGTAATGACAGGAATCGATTCAGAGACATCAGACGCGACCGCCTGTCGCAAGCAGAGGTCTGAACTCCGTCTGATACTCGAGCTAGGTTTGCCAAACTATTGGTATTTTTCGAGTCATCTTGAGAGGTGCTGTCGATTGTCGCACGTAACTTCGCTGTAGAAGAGCTACAGAGCTCGTGCAAAGGACAATTCAGAAGCATCGGGGGCGTTCGGCTGTTGGATAGGTCTGAAATTGCTTGGGCTGAAAAAAACAATTTCATCTGTGTGATTTTTTTTCGACATTATAGGTTGCCAGAAAGCTCTACGAGTCCCCCCAGCGGTAACAAAGGTTGACGGTTTACCGTCGGCGCCCAGTAACTTGTAGAGCTTCCCTGAGCAAGCCATTGCTGGAAGCTTAAGAGTAATTCTAAGGCGCTGGAGAGCTAGTTGGTAAGAAAAATCTCGACGGACATTTTGATGTCGTTTGGTCGGTCGAAAATTCGGTTCTCCAAATTCATCTAGTATTTTCCCCGTGATATTTGATCTTATTCCCGCTCGCTATCTTAATCTCAGCTCAATCGGGTACCTTTTATCGCCAAAAAGCAGACAGGCGGGATCGGCCGTGTCGAGTCATCTTGATACGCGCTGTCGGTTTTATCAAGATAACTCGAGCTTCAGCTACAGAGCTGGTAAGGGCGCCGGCGCGGCGGTAAACCGTCAACCTGGTCACCGCTAGGAACCTCGTACAGCTCCTAGCACGCGTAGGAGTGCTCAGCATCAAAAGAGCGGGCTTCTGGAAACATTTCTCGAAAAAGAGAAAACATGATTTTTGCATGTCGATACAAAGATGATTGCGCCAAGTCTTTTGATAGAGACGCCCTTATATTTGTTTACAGGTGCGAAAAATCTGCTTTCTTAAAATGAATTGTCAAATATCTTTGAAAAAATTAAAACCATCCAAAAGTTGCCACATTGTCCGCCTCGACCAGGTGGGCCAACTGACGCCGGCGGTGAACCGTCAACCGGTCACCGCCGGGAACCTCGTAGAGTTCCTCGCATCCGTGACAAAGCTCAGGATCAAAGCGAGAGCTTCTGGCAGCTTTTCTACAAAAACTTCAAGTTGAGATTTTTCGGAGTCAACATGAAGTCGGTTGCTCCAAGTGAACTGGTATTAAAAATGGCTCTAGAGAGCTGAGCTGCTCAGGGAACAAAGTTTATATGTCAATGCTCGGAGTAAAAATCTGCTTTCTCAAAATGAATGGTCAAATATCTTTCAAATCGAAGCACAACCGACCAAAAGTTAACACTTTGTCCTTCCTGGCCAGGTCGCCAACTGGCGCCGGCGGTGAACCGTCAACCTGGTCACCGCCGAGAACGTCGTAGAGCTCCTTTCACGCGTCAGAGTGCTCAGGGTCGAAAGAGACAGCTTCTGGAAGCATTTCTGGAAAAGGGGAAAAATTGTTTTTTTCGTGTCGACATGAAGATGGTTGCTCCAAGTGTTTTGATAGTAAAAGAGCGACTACGGAGCTCATACTAAGACAGAGAAGCCCTCATAGTCGTTTACAGGTGCTTCTTAAAATAAATGGTCAAATATCTTTCAAAAAATCGCAAAATCACTCAAAAATTACCACTTTGTCCGTCCTGGCCGGGTCGGCCAACTGGGCGCCGGCGGTAAACCGTCAACCTTGGTTACCGCCGGGGAACTCGTAGAGCTTCCAAGCTCGACTTCAGTTGAGAAAACCGAGAGCACCTACCAATATTCTTACTCATAGTGAATATTTTTTGACCTCTGAATGCGACAAGCAGACGCGTATGATCAGACCGAGTTCAGACCTCTCAATGCGACAGGCGGACGCGTCTGATGTCTGCGAATCGGCTCATGTGATTACCAGCCCTGAAGCCCCCCTACAGCCCGAGTTAAGTGCAGAAAACCGGCAGCATCTCTCAGGATGACTCGAATAATATAATAGTTTTGCAGACCTGTTTCGAGCAGCAGACCAAGTTCTGAGCTCTCGAATCGACCAACGAACGCGCCTGATGTGTGCAAATCGATTTATATGACCCGCAGCACTGTAGCCTGAGTGCAGAAAAATGAGAGCACTTTTCACGATGATTCGGACAATACAAATAGTGTCGCAAACCTAGCTCGCACAGCAGACCGAGTTGAGAGCTCTCGATAAAACATACAAACGCGCCCGATAATGCTCAATCGATTTCTGTGACTGGGCTATAGCTGCCTACAGCTCGATTTGAGTACAGAAAATACCGAGAGCGTTTGTCAAGATGACTCGAATAATACGAATAGATTTGCGGACCTAGCTCGGCTAGCAGACCGAGTTCAGACCTCTGGAGTCAAGAGGCGAACGCGCCTGGTGATTCTGAGTGCGATAGGTGTACTTACCAGCACTGTAGCTGACATGCAGCTCGAATTAAGTAGACAACTGGGCGCCGGCGGTAAACCGTCAACCTTGGTTACCGCCGGGGAACTCGTAGAGCTTCCAAGCTCGACTTAAGTTGAGAAAACCGAGAGCACCTACCAACATTCTGACTCATAGTGAATATTTTTTGACCTCTGAATGCGACAAGCGGACGCGTCTGATCAGACCGAGTTAAGACCTCTCACTGCGACAGGCGGACGCGTCTGATGTCTGGGAATCGACTCATGTGATTACCAGCCCTGAAGCCCCCCTACAGCCCGAGTTAAGTGCAGAAAACTGACAACATCTCTCAGGATGACTCGAATAATATAATAGTTTCGCAGAC